GTTAGAAGAGGAAATTTCGAGCAAAATATGTTACAATTAGCGAAATAATAAAAAAGCAGAACCTTTCTGAATTTGGCGATTGTTGCATTCTTCATTTTCTGCCCGAAACTGCTTTCTCCCGTAAAATATCCATTCCCTTTGTCGAAAATGCCTCCATTGACAGCAACAACCAAGAGCAAGGTGAGCAATGCTAGCCGCATTCTAAATTGCAAATTTTTATGAACAAAATGGGAGTAGACTGAGTGTGTGAAAGGCGCACTTTTAAACAACTAATTCTGCATGTTACGTGCTAGAAATTTTGTCTGACTGTGATTTTGTGGCAGAGATCTAATAAAGTTCAGTTAACACTTTTATACTGACCAGCCATTTGTCAGTGTTACAGAACCCAGGCACGTTGCTCTACCCTATGACTTCTTCATCCGACCGATAAAAAACATTCTTTCACCTCACTGTGGCATAGCTGATATCAGTGCTGCAAGTTCAGTCAAGCTACGATTTTAGTGGCACGGTACTATCGTTTGAGTGCTGACCATCCTCCCTTCATCCCACGCGTCTTAACTATAATACCTTATGGTTCTAAAACCTTTCCTGAAGCACCTATGACGGCCCAAATGGAATTAGAGGTATATGATATTGGGAATAATTGATTTGGTTCAAGGGATATTATCTATAAAACGTACATGAATTCTTAGTTCGCTATAACGTCCGTCACAGTTGAAAGGTTATAGGATTTTGAAAATCGATGAAGTAAATGAAGATTGATATATTGCAGCGCCCCTCCCCCGTTTTATAGCTATCCATTCACTAAGTGCTTCAGAATAGGACGGCTGAGGAAACACATCAGAATACTGTTTTGTGATGAGGAAACACATTTCGGGAGATGAATATTCTTAATTGCCCTCCCACACATGAGTCCCTCTCAGCGAAATTTCATGATTATATCGGAAACGAGCTGTAAGCATGTCTACTATCAAGAACTTCGTCGTTCTTTTTTCTGTCTAGACAATGCTATATGCGTAAAAATTCATTCAAAAAAGTAGCGAAAACACACACAGAATTGATTCTTCGTGAAGAAGCCCAGTCCGCAGTAGACGACATTGAAAGTCACTTCTCCATGACTAGGAAAGAATTAGGGAGTGGGTCTGGCTTTTTCGAAACGATTTTTTGCTTTGTATAGGAGCACATTCGGGAACAACAAAAACATAGTTTTTTCTTCGTCAACGACCCCCTCAATACCAAAGAAGTTGATGGTTCAATCCGTGCAT